AGCACAGTGAAATAAGTTTGTATTTGTTGATGAAGCAGGGTGAAAAGCCGAAACACAAACATGCTTTTAACTATGCTGTTTTCAAGGTTAAACAATGGATTCTGTTCATTTGTGTGGTTATATTTTTTTATGTAGGCTAATGATCCAACCATTGAACGGATCATCACTCCTAAGATTGCTCTCACAACTGCTGAATACTTAGCATATGAATGTGGGAAGCATGTCCTTGTGATATTAACGGATATGAGTTCATATGCCGATGCTCTTCGTGAGGTACTACATACACTACTTCCCAATGAAAACAATAACAACAACAACAATCCCAATATGATCCCAAGTCTTTTGGTTCTGTAGGTATCTGCTGCTCGAGAAGAAGTGCCGGGAAGGCGTGGATATCCAGGTTATATGTATACTGATTTAGCAAGAATCTATGAGCGAGCTGGACGTATCGAAGGAAGAAAAGGTTCCATCACACAAATTCCGATTCTGACTATGCCCAATGACGGTATCATTCTGCCACTCAATGTCATTATTAACCACAATCTATGCTGTCAGCATTTGTTTGTGTGAATAAGCATAGTTCTGTTTGGACAGATATTACCCATCCCACTCCTGATTTGACGGGTTACATCACCGAAGGACAAATATATATTGACAGACAGCTTCATAACCGGCAGGTACTGCTGATGTCTTGCACCATAGCACATTATATATGAGGGCAAGAGTTAAAATTTCATAATGGGAAGATGCCTCAAACTTATTTAACACTAGGAAAGTGATATTAAGCTCGTAGATCTCAAACAGATTTTAATGTGACAGATATACCCGCCAATCAATGTGCTTCCATCTTTGTCCCGTTTAATGAAGGCAAGTGCATAGCTTTGCTTTTGTTTTGTAATCAATTGCAAACTCTCATTTTATGAAGAGAGTCGCAAAGACAATGGGTGTAACAACATTGGGCTTAATTGTTGCAGAGTGCCATTGGAGAGGGTATGACTAGAAGGGACCATTCAGATGTTTCAAACCAGGTGAAAGATCAATTTTAGCAGAGTAGGCAGTAGACAATACCAATATTGAAGTCCTAATTTTGTTCATCATGTGCAAATATGTTTTTGCCTTTCTCTTTGCAGCTGTATGCAAACTATGCCATTGGTAAGGATGTGCAAGCAATGAAAGCTGTGGTTGGAGAGGAAGCCCTGTCTTCTGAGGACCTGGTATGTTTACTTTTAACAAAAAAACCCCATTTAACACTGGACAAAAATGCCTTGGTTCCTAACTATATAGGGGTTGACAAAACTTGTCAATTTTAGAATATGTTTTTGGCAATTTTGACTGTGGCCTTCAAAAATGGTGGAATTGTAAAAAATTCGTGATGATGTGATAGTTATATTTTAAGTCCAAAATTGCATTTTTAAGGAAAAAACAAAACAACCAGGCAATTAGCATGTTGCTTTTAAAAAAATGCATTTTTGGCATTACTAAAGTTAATAAGATTGTTACACTAGCAGCATGTTGTATGATCCCCAATTTGAATTGAAGCTTTTAGTTTACAGCGAAATGCGGAAAATTCTTGTCTTTCTGAAGGTAACTGAATCTAAATCGCCAAAACAAATTAAAACGAGACCATTATTTCCAACTTCCGTAGGCCACAAAAGCCAAAATGTATTTTACCTTTGGAATGATACCAAAAATATATTTTACCCTTTATTACCATAACAACGACAACAATCATATTATTACTCTCTGCCTCAAAATGAACTTTTAGTTTTGACTTCATAGAGTTTTAAATAAGTGTTAAAAGTAAAAATATGGTTGTAACTTGTTTAAAAGAAAGTGAAACGTCGCGAGTCACATTTCCTTTCCTATTCCTTTCTTAATAGGAAATTAAAAAAAAATTTTAAACTTCATTTTGGGAATTCCATAAAAAGAGTATGAACTTCATTTTAGGGTGGGAGGAGTATATGGTTACTAACTCGAGTTTGTCCATTAAGAAATTGGCTAAAAGAATAATTTTGGACAATGTTTTAGCTTCGGGTTGCTAAATGGATTAAATCGTGATGACAAATTAACTTTCTCATCCTTTTTTACTCTCTAATGCATCAAGGGTCTATCGGGAGCAACCTCTTTGTTTTTTTACATGGGTACGGTTGCATACTTCTTGACCCCTTGGACCCCAACTTCGTCGGGTCATACATGTTTTTTTTTGTGATTAGTAACTTGATTGTTTTTGGGAGCTAAAATGAGGTGTTAAATCAAATGTAAAACAGCTGTACCTAGAATTCCTCGACAAATTCGAGAGGAAGTTTGTGGCCCAAGGAGCATACGACACCCGCAACATATTTCAGTCTCTGGATTTGGCATGGACGCTCCTCCGAATCTTCCCCCGCGAGCTTCTACATCGTATCCCGGGGAAGACCCTCGATCAATTTTACAGCAGGGATGCCAACTAGATAAGATCTGTGTGAGCTTGATGATGATCATGTCATGGAATGTTTGTTTTATAATGCCATTTTCTCTCTTAAAGGTTCTGCACATGTCCACCCCTTTTGAGTTCATCAAAGAATAAAAAAGCCCCAAAAACTTAGTACCTCAGGCATTTTAACAGACACCCTTAATTCTTTCAATGGTCTGTACTTTATGTATTGGACAAGAGTGTCTTTGCATGTGTATTACTCTGTAATTGTTTATGAAATTATGGAGGCTCTTGGGAGCAAGGGAAGTATTTGTATGGGCTGTTCATGTAACTATGTTGGCATCAGACCTAATAAATGAGCCCCTTGCAAAGTGCATAATGGTTTTGTTTCCTATAAAATGTTTTCAAGCAAAGTTATGATAGATACTTCAAAAAATGAAGTCATGAATAGAAGCGCTATGTTATAGTCATGAAAAAACAAAGTCATGATAAAAGATGTAGGTCCCGTTTGACATCAGCGTTAGAAATTAGAGACACAATTGGATTAGATTAGTCTTCTCCCTATAGCCCGAGGAGGTATAAATAAGCATACATATTGGGCGCAAGCTCATGAAATATCAGATAATAAATGAGCCTGAGCTGA